TTTCCCTTCTTTTTCCTTTCCTTTTCTTTTCCTTCCCTTCCTTTTCCTTTCGCCTTTCCTTTCCCTTCCATTTTTCTTTCCCATTCTTTCATTTTTTCTTCTTGCTCTTTCACTTTCCTTTCCTTTTTCTTTTTCCTTTATTTTCCTTTCCTTTTCCTTTCCCATTCTTTCATTTTCTCTTCTTGCACTTTCACTTTCTCTTTTCTTTTTTCCTTTCCCTTTCCTTTCCTATCCTTTCTCTTTCCTTTTCCTTTCCCTTTCCTATCCTTTCTATTTCTCTTTCTCTTTCCCTTTCCATTGCCTTTTCCTTTTCATTTCCCTTTTCTTTCTTTCTCTTTCCCTTTCCTGTTTCCCTTCACACCTGTGCCTCTGAAAAGCGATTCCGTGATCACATCACTTTTCAGAGAGGTATTTCACAGGTGACGGGAAGGCAATGTGTCACTTACTTATCGCCTGTTTTCCGTAAGTGTTGCACCACTGCACTGCAACCCCATGCATTAGACGTAAGATGGCTGCAGCATTGCTCCATTTAATTGAATGGGTCATTTTTAACAGGTGCTAGTTTCCGCCAAGCATGACAGGAGGTTTAGTTTCTTGCCATGGCATGTGTACTCCCCCATATGCTGCCTTTGCAGTTTAAGGGGGAGCAGTTGGGGGTCAGATAAAAGCATGACTCAACTGCTTGTTTTTACCCCCCCCCCCCCCAACCACAAGTGTAAATACGCACATAACAGGAAAAAAAATGTAGGCTGATAGGTATACTTTACCCAGACTAAAAGAATAATGAGGTCATAATATGGGCTCTTTCAGACAGTCCGCTGAGGGCAGTAAAAATAGGTGGATGCGCCACGGTTTTATAACCCCCTCAGCCGTCCACCTGAATTAACACTACAGCTAGACAGGGCTGTACACATGCCGTTGATCCGATGGTTTGCTTCAAGGCCACAGCATTTTTACTTCAGGGTGCAGAGCTTGAAAGGAGGCACTGCCAAACTCACCCATTGAGGTCACTGGGGCACCATTACAACCGTGATTCGGCTCCCAGCTGTAGTGCTCTCCTGCAATGTAAAATTGCTGTTCAATAATAAAAAAAAAACAGGAGCGCACGAGGTGGCAATAGCTCCTCAGTACTGCCTGTCAGCTGCTGAAAAGTGAACCACTGTGGATCGCTTTTCAGAGGGTGGTAAGCTGCACAGACAATTTGAAAGAAGCCTAAGTGTATGAGCTGCTTGTATTAGTGTTCATTGCCCCTCATTAGTCCAAAACATTCTCTGCCGTGCCAAGAAGTATATATGTACAGTGTAATGTTCTCCCGGATAAAGAAACATACCATCTCAGGGATTGTGCTATAATGAATTCACAATGCAGCAAAAATAATTGCCATCATTTTAATGAGGAAAAAAATGTAAAAGGAATAGATTGCATTTCATTTATAAACTGTAATCCAGAGGCTTCTGCTTTGTCCATTTGTTTAGACGTTCTTCTGCAGAGTCATTAACAGCTGGTCATTTCAGACAGTGATTAATCCTTGGAGTGCCGAAAAAAAGTCATTTTCCACAAACAGTTGCAAAAAGTAAAGAGCTGTACCTGCGTTCCATGTTCCTTTTTTTAATTATTGTATATTGTCTTTGTGCTTTTTTTTTTTTTTTTTAATTTTCTAAAAAATAAAATATTTCATATAAGTGACAGAATAAGTTCTCGTACCGATGCCGAGTGTTCTTTTTAAACTGTGTGGTGAAATATTCCTAACCCCAATTAGTGAAAATTGTGAATCCCCAGCAGGATTTTTTTTTTTTTTTAAAAAATGGAAGCATTTAGAACTTCCAAAAAAAAGTTTCCCAACTCCAAGGTTGGGAACAGAATAAAAACTTGTGAATGCCCAGCAGGAGTTAAAAAAAAAAAACATATTTAGAACTTTTTTCTTCCAAAAAAAATTCTTCACTCCAGTGTTGGGAGCAAAATAAAAATGTGAATTCCCAGCAGGATTTTTTTTTTTAAAAAATGGAAGCATTTAGAACTTCCAAAAAAAGTTTTCCAACTCCAGGTTTGGGAGCAGAATAAAAATTGTGAATGCCCAGCAGGAGTTAAAAAAATAAACATATTTTGAACTTTTTTCTTCCAAAAAATATTCCTAACTCCAGCTTTGGGAGCAGAATAAAAAAAATTGAATCTCTGGAAGGAATTAAAAAAAAAAAAAAAACCTATTTAGAACTTTTTTCTTCCAAAAAAGGGAGCAGAATATTCCTAACTTTTTTTCTTCCAGTTTTGGGAGCAAAATAAAAATGTGAATTCCCAGCAGGAGTTAAAAAAAAAAACATATTTAGAACTTTTTTCTTCCAAAAAATATTCCTAACTCCAGTTTTGGGAGCAGAATTTAAAAAAAATTGAATCTCTGGAAGGAGTTTGAAAAAAAAGAATTTAGAACTTTTTTCTTCCAAAAAAAATTCTTCACTCCAGTGTTGGGAGCAAAATAAAAATGTGAATTCCCAGCAGGATTTTTTTTTTTTAAAAATGGAAGCATTTAGAACTTCCAAAAAAAGTTTTCCAACTCCAGGTTTGGGAGCAGAATAAAAATTGTGAATGCCCAGCAGGAGTCAAAAAAATAAACATATTTTGAACTTTTTTCTTCCAAAAAATATTCCTAACTCCAGCTTTGGGAGCAGAATAAAAAAAATTGAATCTCTGGAAGGAATTAAAAAAAAAAAAACCTATTTAGAACTTTTTTCTTCCAAAAAATATCCCGAACTCCAGTTTAGGGAGCAGAATAAAAAAAACTTAAATCTTTGGGAGGAGTTTTAAAAAAAAAGAATTTAGAACTTTTTTCTTCCCAAAAAAATTCTTCACTCCAGTGTTGGGAGCAAAATAAAAATGTGAATTCCCAGCAGGAGTTAAAAAAAAAAAAAAAATAATTCATATTTAGAACTTTTTTCTTCCAAAAAATATTCCTAACTCCAGTTTTGGGAGCAGAATTAAAAAAAAATTGAATCTCTGGAAGGAGTTTGAAAAAAAAGAATTTAGAACTTTTTTCTCCCAAAAAAAATTCTTCACTCCAGTGTTGGGAGCAAAATAAAAATGTGAATTCCCAGCAGGATTTTTTTTTTTTTTAAATGGAAGCATTTAGAACTTCCAAAAAAAGTTTCCCAACTCCAGGGTTGGGAGCAGAATAAAACTTGTGAATGCCCAGCAGGAGTTAAAAAAAACAAAACATATTTTGAACTTTTTTTCTTCCAAAAAATATTCCAAACTCCAGTTTTGGGAGCAGAATAAAAAAAAATTAAATCTCTGGGAGGAATTAAAAAAAAATAAACCTATTTAGAACTTTTTTCTTCCAAAAAATATTCCTAACTCCAGTTTTGGGAGCAGAATTAAAAAAAATTGAATCTCTGGGAGGAGCTTGAAAAAAAATAATTTAGAACTTTTTTCTTCCCAAAAAAATTCTTCACTCCAGTGTTGGGAGCAAAATAAAAATGTGAATTCCCAGCAGGATTTTTTTTTTTTAAAAAATGGAAGCATTTAGAACTTCCAAAAAAATTTTCCCAACTGCAGGGTTGGGAGCAGAATAAAAATTGTGAATGCCCAGCAGGAGATATAAAAAAAAAACATATTTTGAACTTTTTTCTTCCAAAAAATATTCCTAACTCCAGTTTTGGGAGCAGAATAAAAAAAAATTGAATCTCTGGGAGGAAGTAAAAAAAAAATAAACCTATTTAGAACTTTTTTCTTCAAAAAAATATCCCTAACTCCAGTTTTGGGAGCAGAATAAAAAAAATTGAATCTCTGGGAGGAGTTTAAAAAAAAAAGAATTTAGAACTTTTTTCTTCCAAAAAAAATTCTTTACTCCAGTGTTGGGAGCAAAATAAAAATGTGAATTCCCAGCAGGATTTTTTTTTTTTTTTTTTTTAAATGGAAGCATTTAGAACTTCCAAAAAAAGTTTCCCAACTCCAGGTTTGGGAGCAGAATAAAAATTGTGAATGCCCAGCAGGAGATAAGAAAAAAGAAAAAAAAACATTTAGAACTTTTTTCTGCCAAAAAATATTTCCCAACTCCATTTTTGTGAGCACAATAAAACTAAAAAGTGCAAGCTCTGGTGCAGCTCATCGTAACCAATCAGCTTCTAACTTGAGCTTTTTTAGTTAAAGAGTAACTCCGCTTTTGTTGACAAAAGGCATTTTTTTTTTGCTGGGTGTTAAAATCCTTCCAATGTACAAAGATGAAACTTTGTTGCAGATTCCTATCTTTTGTTATTCTGAAGAAACAACTGTTTGTTTGTCTGTGTCCATGTGCCGAGTGAATCTGTATGGGAGTGACTTTATAATTATCAGTCAGCTGCTGCACCTATAGGGCTCTAATGAGGAAAGTGGCGGGGTCTGCATCCTTTTAGACGTGATTTCCCTTTGGGAGTATTGCACCCAAAATAACTTTTTTTTGCAGGGCATGCTCACAATCTGACTTGTATCTAAGAGCAAACTTCTGGGAAAATCAGTAAGTCAATCACAGAAGCAGGAAATGGCATTTCTGAAAGGGGAGGGGGGGGGGTTCTGTACACCAGCTGTATACAGAACACCTCCAAGTAGCCATATTGCATTTTACAGAAAATTTAAGTTCTGCAAATAGAAAAAGAAAGATAATTTTTAATAATATTTAATTATAAAATGACTTGAGTCCCAATTGTATACACTATATAATTTTTTTTTTATTTGCCAATTTTTTTCCCATGAAAGTGGAGTTACCCTTTAACTACTTCCCGTCCGGCCCATATACATAAACAGCCAGACGGGAGCAGTTTCGAATCGGGTTGCCGTTTATGAAATGGAAACCGCATTAAATGCCTGTGCGCGCTTCCTGGGAGCGCGCCAACACCGATCGCTGTACGGGACCTCTGTTTGAGGTCCCGATTCATGTGATTCCCTGATTGGTCAATCAGGGATCACATGAATAGTAGTAAGCAAGATGTCACTTCCTGACATCAGTGCTTACTACTTGTGAAATCTGTGAATGATCACATGGTACAAGGTTATTCACAACAGCCTTGTACCTTGTGACAAGCTGTGACCAATCACAGCTCTCAAAGTATTTCTCAATGGCTGCAAGAATGCAGCCAGAGAGAAGGAGAAATGATTGATTTTATAGCCTTTATGGGTGTAAAAGCAATCAGTGTAAAAAAAAAGAAAAAAAATCTTCATCACCCCCCACAAGTAGTACAGTGTCGCGGGAGCGCAGGACAAGGTAAGTACTGGAGGGAATCCCTGAGCAACACTGCAGGGAAATCCCGAGTGTAGCTCGGGGTTACCGCTTTTGGTACTGAAAGTTAACCCCGAGCTACCCTCGGGAATACCGCCAGGGAGGTTAGATCAGCTCCATAGTGGTGTTCATTTTTGGCTGGTGTTCCACTTTAAGTTGCCATCTTCCCTAAGTTAGTGGCTTGCTGGTTAAGTTTGCCTGTCTGGAGCTTTTTCTGAGATATTTTGAGCATTGTCTAATTCGCCGTTCCGCTGACAATTGTTTTTCCAATAAAAGCTCATAACAGATGCTATTTTATGATCTTGGCAACTCTCTATCTCCCGTTTTAAATAAAGTCACTTGAAAATTAACTTTCAGCTACGCAAACAGATTATTAAGAGGCGAAGACAAAGCGCCATTAGTCTAATATTTCCTAACTTCTGCAAGTGTTCGATAAGAAACCAAAATCTACTGGAGAGAAGTGAACTGCACCTTTCCCGAAATACCTGCATTTCCTCGCGCTCGGCGTGCATTGTCTGGGAGAATCGAGTGCATTGTTGTAGCTAGAACAATGTATAGCACAATACGGCACAGGCTGTACAGGAATCAGAGTCCCGCTGCGACTGATTACAGCGTCTGCTGTTTCTGTAGAGACATCACTCCCTTGCTCCATTGAGTTTTATTCGTATTTGTTCCATTTCTCATCAGAAAGTGTCTATCGCAAACTTATTTCTTAATTTTGGCCTTTTGGGTGTTGCGGCATAAAAAATGATTTCCCACCCAAGTGTTGATTTAATAACACGGCCGAGAATTGTCTTCCTCTGGAACCCACGTAGAATAGAAATGCCATCTTGGAAATAAATTGCTCTTTTACTTTTTTTTTTATTTCTTACCGGCATTATAGAAACAAATGTATTAAAAAAAAAAAAAATAAAGATTTTTGCTGCAGTGTAAATTTTTTGGGAGAAGGATTACAATGTAATTGTATAATAACTTACTCCCTGTGAATCACTGACTCGCTTTGCCCATATGAGAAATTCAATATTCTATACATTATAGCTTTATTAAGTAAAATCTAAAATAATAATAATCTGTGTTCGGTGGGCTTGTTTATATTTACATGAGCATTATGTGTTTATTGGGTTGTTCATTTTGCTGTTCCCTTATTTATGATGTTTATTTCATGTCTAGCTTTTGTTATTAGGGTTTTTTTTTGTTTTTTTTTTTTTTTTTTTGCAAGAACAAAGATAGTGTAATGGCCAGTTTTTTATTTAGTAAAGATTCTTTAACCATTAGCCGCCCGGCCAATGGCCGTTAGGCGGCTTCAAAACTGTCTCTGCACTCCGGGTGCACGCCATTTGGCGTGCTCCCGCACATGCGCAGTTTGCGCTAATGCAGAGTAGCGCAGCAGTGCGATCTGTCACCGGCCGTGCACCTCGGACACGGCCGATGACAGATCCGAGTACCGGCTCCCGTTGCTGGTACCATGTGACCTGCTGTGACCAATCACAGCAGGTCTCATGACAGTTGTAAACAATGGATGGCTTCTTTCATGATGCCATCCATTGTATACTAGTGCCTAGCTGTGAATGGTCACAGCTAATCACATGCACATGTCATGTGATTAGCTGTGACCAAATCACAGCTAAGCACAAAAAAAAAAAAAAAAAAAAAAAAAAAAAAAAAAAGCTGAATGAATCGATTTCATTCAGGTAAATGCTTGCTTAATTGTGTAAAAAAAAAAAAAAAAAAAAATACTGATCACTTCCCCAAAGTAGTACAATGTTACTATGGTAACATTGTACTACTTTGGCCATAGTAAAATATGAAAACAAAATCTTAAAAAAAAAAAAAAAAAATGTAATAAAAAATTAAATATAATAAAAAAAATATATATATATATATATATATATTTTTTTTTTTCATACTGTCACCAGTCAGTGTCCCTGTTCACCGCCATGCCAGTTATATGATGACGCTGTACTGCACTGGTGACAGTATGTAAAAAAAAAACATAGTGAAAATAATTTTTTTTAATCTTTTCATTTTCCGAAAAATTATGACAAAAAAATACAACTTCAAAAAAACTCGCCATGCCTCTTATGAAGTACGTCGGACTGTCTACTCTGCAAAAAGGGGTCATTTGGGGATATCTGTACTATTCTGACATTCTTGGACCTCAAGAAATTAGATTGGCTGTCAGTACTTCAGGATTGATCAATATTCAGATCTATACCATAGTTTGTGAACTCTATAACTTTCCTACAAACTAAATAATACATCCTAATTTGGGTTATTTTCACCAAAGACATGTAGCAGAATACATCTCGGCCTAAATTTATGAAGAACAATTATTTATTTGTAAACTTTTATAACAGAAACAAAGAAAAATGTGTTTTTTTTTCAAACTTTTTGGTCTTTTTTTGTTAATTTAGCAAAAAATAAAAACCCAGCGGTGATTAAATACCACCAGAATAAAGCTCTAGTTGTGTGAAGAAAATGATAAAATTTTAGTTTGGGTACAGTGTTGTATGACCGCGCAATTGTCATTCAAAGTGTGAGAGCGCTGAAACCTGAAAAATGGCCTGGGCAGGAGGTGTAAAATTGCCCGGTATTGAAACGGTTAAAGTCCAACTGAACTTTCTGCTTAAATCAACTAAACACAGTGTTTGTGTATTTTGTGCAACAACTACATCAGTATTCGGTAGAGATATGTTCTTCAACCAGTAGATGACATTGTTTATACGTTTCTATCTGCGTCTATGGTATTCTGTATGCCTTTTCTCTGAATAAAGTTTCCACTTTCCTTTTTGCAGTGAAACAGAAAAGCTCATATGGACTGTTCACTGCTTATTCTGTAGGATTATAGGCAGAATTTCTAACAGGTTATAGGCCCAGTCATACCTGGCTACATCAAATAAGTGGAAGTTACAGCAAAAGAAAGAAGACTGCACCAGAATAAAAGAAAATGGCCAGTAACACAGCTGCAATAAAGCTTTCATTTGCAAATCTGACAAACCGAAACTACCAGTCTTGGAAATTCAGGATGAAAATGCTGATAAGAGAAGGTATGTGGAAATGTATAACTGAAGTCAGGGCAGAACACCCTTCAGATGAGAGGATAGAGAAAGATCAGAAATCTCAGAGCACAATCTATCTTACCATAGAAGATGATTACCGTATTTTTTCGCTCCATAAGACGCACCTGACCATAAGACACACCTAGGTTTTAGAGGTGAAAAACAAGAAAAAAAAATATTCTGAACCAATGGACTGCAGACATAGTACAGAAAATGACCAGAGACTGCAGACACATTACAGGAGATGACCAAAGACTTCCGACACAGTACAGGAGATGAACAGAGCCTGCAGACACAGTACAGGAGATGACCAGAGACTGCGGACATAGCACAGGAGATGACCAGAGACTGCGGACATACTACAGGAGATGACTAGAGACTGCGGACATAGTACAGGGGATGACCAGAGACTTCGGACATAGTACAGGAGATGACCAGAGACTGCGGACAGTATAGGCGATGACCAGAGACTGCGGACAGTGCAGGGGATGACCAAGAGACTGCGGACAGTGCAGGGGATGACCAAGAGACTGCGGACAGTGCAGGGGATGACCAAGAGACTGCGGACAGTGCAGGAGATGACCTGAGACTGCGGACAGTGCAGGAGATGACAAGAGACTGCAGACATAGTAAAGGAGATGACCAGAGACTGCGGACACAGTACAGGAGATGACCAGAGACTGCGGACACAGTGCAGCAGATGACCAGAGACTGCGGACAGTATAGGGGATGACCAGAGACTGCGGACAGTGCAGGGGATGACCAAGAGACTGCGGACAGTGCAGGGGATGACCAAGAGACTGCGGACAGTGCAGGGGATGACCAAGAGACTGCGGACAGTGCAGGAGATGACCAGAGACTGCGGACAGTGCAGGAGACAAGAGACTGCAGACATAGATGACTGCGGACAGTGCAGGAGATGACCAGAGACTGCGGACACAGTGCAGCAGATGACCAGAGACTGCGGACAGTATAGGGGATGACCAGAGACTGCGGACAGTGCAGGAGGATGACCAAGAGACTGCGGACACAGTGCAGGGGATGACCAGAGACTGCGGACAGTGCAGGAGATGACAGAGACTGCGGACACAGTACAGGAGATGACCAGAGACTGCGGACATAGTACAGGAGATGACAAGAGACTGCGGACACAGTGCAGCAGATGACCAGAGACTGCGGACACAGGGCAGGACACAGGAGATGACCAGAGACTGCGGACACAGTGCAGGAGATGACCAAAGACTGCGGACACGGTGCAGCAGATGACCAGAGACTGCGGACACAGTACAGGAGATGACCAGAGACTGCGGACACAGTGCAGGGGATGACCAGAGACTGCGGACACAGTGCAGGGGATGACTGCTGACCTTTGGGGAGGGAGGGGGAGTGGGTACCTGAATTTGATAGGTACCCGCTCCCACTTCTGCGGAGTTGTCCTCCCTTTAGTGTGGGCACCCGGCTGACAGCCCAGTGCGCATGCGCGAGAAGCGCTGCGCTTTGTGATTGGTCTGCCGTCTTCTGGGACCTGTCCCAGAAGACGCCGTACCATTCACAAAGTGCAGACATGGTAAATAACAAACCAAAAAACATAATAATATAAAAAATAAAATAAAAATGTAAAACAAAATGTGTTAAAAATTATAATTTTTGGTTATAAACGAATTTGGGTTAAAAAGATAACGGAATAAATTTTGGCCAATATTTATGAAGAAAGATTATTTATTTACAAAACTTTATAAATAACACTTTTTTTTCAAAATGTTTGGACATTTTCATTTACATAGCAAAAAAAATAAAAATCCAAGTGGTGAATAAATACGACCAAAATAAAGCTTTATCTGTCTCAGAAAAATGGTAAAAAATTCATATGGGTACAGTGTTGCATGATCGCGCAATTGTCATTCAAAGTGTGATAGTGCTGAAAGCTGAAAATTGCCCTGGGCAGGAAGGGGGTAAAAGTGTCCGGTCTGGAAGTGGTTAAGCTGTGGCTAATTGACCTAACATCCGATGGTGCTTGCAAATTCCAGGACCAAAGCCACTTGGCTGAGTAAGCAGCAGGCCACCAATGATCTGTCGGGGCAGCACAGTGGCTAAATGGTTAGCACTTCTGCCTGGCAGTATTAGAGTTGCGTTTGTATCCCAACCCCAGCACCACCTGCCTGGAGTTTCCATGTTCTCCCTGTGACTGCGTGGGGGTACTCCAGTTTCCTCCCACACTCCAAAGACATGCTAGTAGGTTACTTGGCTCCTGTCTAAATTGTCCCTAGTATGTGTATGTATGAATGTGAGTTAGGGACCTTAGATTGTACACCCTTGAGGGTTAGGGACTGATGTGAATGTACAATATATATATAAAGCGCTGTGTAAATTGATGGCGCTATATAAGTACCTGAAATAATAAATAATCTTTTTAGCTGTCTGCAAGGAGGGCATCCTGACCACTACTCTAAGGGGTGCATTCTTCCCACTGACCCCCAATGAATTGATATTAACAGGGGTTCCCCAAGACCTGAAAATTATTTCAAGGGTTCTCTTGGATTTAAAGGGCTGAGAAAGGCTGTTCTTGCCTAATTCTCACTGCCTAGAACAGCCTCATCTGAAAACTTAAAGTCCTGATCTCCACCATAATGTGTGCTCTTATGAGACAGAACTGTCGAATTGAAGAATATCTGGTTTTAATGTTTTATTAATATCTATTTATAACTAGCAAGTGGCAGTAACACGGGATACGCACATGCTGACATTTAATAAAGATATGAATGATTTATTCACAATCCGCTCATAAATACTCCGCTTTTCTACACCCTTCTGCTATTGGCTTGATTTACGGTGGGCTGTCAAGCCACATATATCTTTCAATTGATAAATATGACAAGCCCCTGACAGCTTTCTTAAACGTATGTTTCCAGTGTCTTTTTTTTCCCTGCCATCAATAAATGACAACTTAATATAATCAATAATTATTTAGAAAGAGTGGATTTGAAATTTGTGAACTTTCGTTAAATACTTTTGTGCAGTTAAAGCGATACATACGTACATGCTTACTTACTTCAATGCATACTGTGTATCGGGGTGTTAAAAAATATAAAATTGACAGGACCAGCATGCTTTAAAGCGGCTTCGCAACGCCCCGCTGCGCTTTTGCAAAATTGCAGCTAACCAGCAGTTTTCATAGGGTTTAGCTGTGCGTTCCCATAGACTTTTATGGGGTCCTGCAGTGTTGGTGCGGTTTCAGAAAGTGCACCAAAATTCCTACATGCTGCATCTTTGGTGCTCTTTCTGAAACCGCACCAAGACTGCCGTACATTATAAAAGTCTATGGGAAAGAGCAGCTAATCCAGTGAGACCACTCTGAGGTACTGAATTCAAATTCACCGAGGTCCGGTCAGTAAAATCTTCTTTCAGCCGAGATCCACATCGCAAATTTGTACAATCCATCACATCACCCCCCCCCCCCCTCCTCTTATATCACAATCCCTTTCTTATAAAGGGGCCTCAG